AGGTAAAATTATTTTTAAAAAAAATTGTAATTCCCCATAAACTGGTTTAACTGCTTTTAGCTTGACTTATTTATTTTTATTAAACTGTATTCATAGTTTGATCCTATTTTTAATTATTACTTTAACTGATTTGCCTCTTTGTGTTTTTATTCACTTTCTATTCGCTGTTGTTTGTTTTCGTACCTTTTTTTTGTTTTTAAAAAGTGCTTTATAAATAAATTTTAATAAATATATATATTTGGTGTTTTGGAGTTTTGCCAGATCTAAACCAGGACTAAACTGGGACTAAATGCATTCTTGGATTAAAAGGATTAAATGGGGATTAAACCAGGACCAAACGAAGACTAAAGTGGGTCTTAAAAACATGACTGAACCAGGACTGAACCAGGACTGAACCAGGACTGAACCAGGACTGAACCAGGATAAACCAAGAGTCCAACAACATAACCAGGACTGAAGCAGGACTAAAACGGGTTTAAACAAGGTCTAAACAAGGTCTAAAGCAAGTGTAAATTGGGACTAAACCAGGACTAAACCAAATCAGAACAAGGACTAAAGCAGGTCTAAAGAGGGAGGTCTAAACCAGGACTAAAGCGGATCTAAACAAGGACTAAAGTAGGTCTAAATCAGAACTAAACCGGGTCTAAACAAGGACTAAACCGGGTCTAAACAAAGGACTAAACCGGGTCTAAACAAGAGACTAAACCGGGTCTAAACAAGGACTAAACCGGGTCTAAACAAGGACTAAACCGGGTCTAAACAAGGACTAAACCGGGTCTAAACAAGGACTAAATCAGGTCTAAACAAGGACTAAATCAGGTCTAAACCAGGACTAAACAAGGACTAAAGTAGGTCTAAACAAAGACTAAACCAGGTCTAAACAAGGAACTAAACCAGGTCTAAACAAGGACTAAATCAGGTCTAAACAAGGACTAAATCAGGTCTAAACAAGGACTAAATCAGGTCTAAACAAGGACTAAATCGGGTCTAAACCAAGACTAAACCGGGTCTAAACCAGGACTAAACCGGGTCTAAACCAGGACTAAATAAGAACTAAACCAGGTGTAAATCAGAATTAAATCAGGATTAAACCAGATATAATCAAGAACTGTTCGCTGTTGTTCACTTTTGTACCATTTTTTTGTTTTTTTTAAAAAGTGCTTTACAAATAAATCTAAATAAATATATATATATTCGGTGATGATGCTGCATTCAGGAGCCCGGAGTCGACTTCACAGAAAAACAGAAGAAATAAGAAAAGCCGCAGTTATTAATAATTTACCTTGTGTACACAGAACGAGATACAGAACCTACAGACGAGCGTTTGACCCGGTGATGCCGTTCGGGACGTTTTTATTTTGGTAAACACGACTTCCACGGAAAAATATGACCTCCACATGAACTAGAGGAATGAACTCGATTCTTAAAAACGATTTTGATAACACGATGAAAATAAAATTGAATTAAACGTGGCTTTTGACAAATACGACGTTCTGCAAATGTGAGGTTAAAAAGTCGGATTTAGGGATTTGGAATTGGAGTTTTGCCAGATCTAAACCAGGACTAAACCGGGACTAAATGCATTCTTGGATTAAAAGGATTAAATGAGGATTAAACCAGGACCAAACGAAGTCTAAAGTGGGTCTTAAAAGCCTGACTGAACCAGGACCGAACCAGGACTGAACCAGGACTGGACCAGGACTGGACCAGGACTGAACCAGGACTGGACCAGGACAGGACTGGACCAGGACCAGGACTGGACCAGGACTGAACCAGGACTGAACCATGTCTGAACCATATCTATAAACCAAGACTGAACCAGGTCTATAAACCAGGACTCCAACATCATAACCAGGTCTAAAGCAGGACTAAAACCAGATCTAAAGTAGATTTAAAGCAGATCTAAAGAAGGTCTAAACAAGGACTAAAGCAAGTCTAAATCAGGACTAAACCAGGTATAGACAAGGACTAAACAAAGACTAAACCAGGTCTAAACAAGGTCTAAAGCAAGTGTAAATCGAGACTAAACCAGGACTAAACCAAATCTGAACAAGGATTAAACCGGGTCTAAAGAAGGACTAAAACAGGTCTAAACCAGGTCTAAACAAAGACTAAACCAGGTTTAAAGCAACTCTAAAGAGGGACTAAAGTGGGTCAAAACCAGGACTAAAGCAGGTATAAAGCAGGTCTAAATCAGGACTGAACCAGATCTCAACAAGGACCAAAGCAGGTCTAAACGTGAACTAAACCAGATGTATATCGGGACTAAACCAGGTCTAAACACAGCGCCTAAAGCAGGTCTAAACAGGAACTAAACCAAGGTCTAAATAATAAATAAGCCAGGTGTAAATCAGGACTAAACCAGACTTAAACAAGGACTGACACAGGTCTAAAGCAGGTCTGAATCAGGACTGAACCAGGTCTAAACAAGGACTAAACCGGGTCTAAACAAGGACTAAACGGGGTCTAAACAAGGACTACAGCAGGTCTAAACCAGGTCTAAAGAGGGACTAATTAGAGTCTAACCCAGGACTAAACCAGATCTTAACCAGGGCCAAACCGGGTCTAAACAAGAACAAAACCAGGTGTAATTTGAGACTAAGCCAGGTCTAAACAAGGATTAAAGCAGGTCTAAACCAGGTCTAAAAAGGGATTAAACTAGGACTAGCGCAGGTCTAAAGCAGGACTAAACAAGGATTAAAACAAGGACTACAGCAGGTCTAAATAAGAACTAAAGCAGGTGTAAATCGGGACTAAACCAAATCTAAAAACATGTCTAAAGCAGGTCTAAATCGGGACTAAAGCAGATCTGAACAAGGACCAAACCGGGTCTAAACAAGGACTACAGCAGGTCTAAACTAAGGGTCTGAATCAGGACTGAAAAATCAAACCAGATCAAACAAGGACCAGGTCTAAACAAGAACTAAACCAGATCTAAAGCAGATCTAAACAAGGACTAAACAAGGACTGAACCAGGTCTAAACAAGGACTACAGCAGGTCTAAATAAGAACTAAACCAAATCTAAAAACACGTCTAAAGCGAGCCTAAAGAGAGACTAAAGCAGGTCTAAACTGGGACTAAAGCAGATCTGAACAAGGACCAAACCGGGTCTAAACAAGGACTACAGCAGGTCTAAACAAGAACAAAACCAGGTGTAAGTCTGCACTGAACCAGGTCTAAACAAGGTCTAAAGAGGGACTAAAGCAGGTCTGAATCAGGTCTAAAGCAGGTCTAAACAAGGACTAAAGCAGGACTAAAGCAGGTGCAAATTGGGACTAAATCAAATCTAAAAACAAGTCTAAAGCAGGTCTAAAGAGAGACTAAAGCAGGTCTAAATCGGGACTGAACCAGGTCTAAACGAGATCTAAATAACGACTAAAGCAGGTCTGTACAAGGACCAAACCGGGTCTAAAACAAGGTCTAAAGCAGGTCTAAAGAGGGACAAAAGCAGGTCTAAACAAGGACTAAAGCAGGTCTGAATCAGGTCTAAAGCAGAACTACAGCAGGTCTAAAGAAGGACTAAAGCAGGTCTAAACAAGGACTAAAGCAGGTCTGAATCAGATCTAAAGCAGAACTACAGCAGGTCTAAAGCAGGTCTGAATCAGGTCTAAAGCAGATCTGAACAAGGACCAAACCGGGTCTAAACAAGGACTACAGCAGGTCTAAACAAGAACAAAACCAGGTGTAAGTCTGCACTGAACCAGGTCTAAACAAGGTCTAAAGAGGGACTAAAGCAGGTCTGAATCAGGTCTAAAGCAGGTCTAAACAAGGACTAAAGCAGGTCTAAAGCAGGTGCAAATTGGGACTAAATCAAATCTAAAAACAAGTCTAAAGCAGGTCTAAAGAGAGACTAAAGCAGGTCTAAATCGGGACTGAACCAGGTCTAAACGAGATCTAAATAACGACTAAAGCAGGTCTGTACAAGGACCAAACCGGGTCTAAAACAAGGTCTAAAGCAGGTCTAAAGAGGGACAAAAGCAGGTCTAAACAAGGACTAAAGCAGGTCTAAATCAGGTCTAAAGCAGAACTACAGCAGGTCTAAAGAAGGACTAAAGCAGGTCTGAATCAGATCTAAAGCAGAACTACAGCAGGTCTAAAGCAGGTCTGAATCAGGTCTAAAGCAGATCTGAACAGGACAGGTCTAAACAAGGACTAAAGGTCTAAACAAGAAAGTCACAGGTCTAGGTCTAAAGCAAAAGTCTAAACAGTCTAAACAAGGACTAAAGCAGGTCTGAATCAGGGCAGAACTACAGCAGGTCTAAAGTCTGGTCAGGTCTAAACAAGCAGACTCAGCAGGTCTAAAGCAGGTCTGAATCAGGTCTAAAGCAACTAAAGCAGGAACAAGGACCAAACCGGGTCTAAACAAGGACTACAGCAGGTCTAAACAAGAACAAAACCAGGTGTAAGTCTGCACTGAACCAGGTCTAAACAAGGTCTAAAGCAGGTCTAAACAAGGACTAAAGCAGGTCTAAATCGGGACTGAACCAGGTCTAAACGAGATCTAAATAACGACTAAAGCAGGTCTGTACAAGGACCAAACCGGGTCTAAAACAAGGTCTAAAGAAGGACTAAAGCAGGTCTAAAGAAGGACTAAAGCAGGTCTGAATCAGGTCTAAAGCAGGTCTAAACAAGGACTAAAGCAGGTCTAAACAAGGACTAAAGCAGAACTACAGCAGGTCTACAGCAGGTCTGAATCAGGATTAAAGCAGGTCTAAATCAGGACTGAACCAGGTCTAAATCAGGACTACAAAAGGACTGACCTATGACTACACCGCGGCGGCATTAAATCTTTCCAGCGCTCGCGTCCACAGCCACGAAAGTCCCCGAAAACAGCACCGACACAAACCCGCTCCAAGTCACTCCGAAACACGTCCACAGTCCACGCACGCACGCACGCACGCACGCACAGCTGGAGCGCCGCTGCACGAGCACGCACGAGCACGCACGCACGCACGCACATCCGCCACGCTTCACGGTCCAAACATCCATCACTCCTCACCTGGATCACGAACGGCACCGGAGATTCACGAAGACAGCGGCATCCGAGGAAAATCCGAGCGCCAAAAAAAAACAAACCTCCGAGCAAAACGTCGGATAGTCCCAGATGCGCGAGGACGGAGCGCGGGGCAAATCCAGCGGGGCGCGTGCCGACGTGAGGCCGGCGGAAGGAGGTCAAATCCGGGTAAACGCGCGGAGACGGCGGCGGCGGCGGTGGAGGAGCGGAGGTCTGCGTGCCTCTGTGCGTCTCCGAGGCTCGTCCGCGGACTGAACGCTGCACCGGAGAAGCACCGCCCCGCTCAGAGGTGCAGCCAATAGAAAAGCAGCGCTCCTCTCTCTCTCCCGCACGCGCACTGTAACCGCTCTGTTACGACACCACGTCAAACGTTACAGTAACACCGCGTTTTTTACGTTTTTAAAAAAATATATATATATATATTTTGTGTAGAAAAAGTTTGAAAAAAAAAAAGGTTAAATTATTTGAATGCATGTTTTGAGAGGAGTTTGACTTTTAAAAGTTTATTTTGGTTTATTTATTTATTTGAATCGGACAAAATCTGTTTTGACACGATGAGAAATGTAACACTTTTTTTTTTTTTTTTTTTTAGTTTTTTATGTGGAGTGAGTTTTAAAAAGACGTATCCTTGGACTTTCTGAACACATTTTTTTTTATGTTTTAAAAAATATATATATTTTTTGTGTGTAGTGTGTGTTTCTAAAAAGGATAAATGATTTGAATAAATGTTTTGAGTTGAGTTTGACTTTTAAAAACGTAGTTTAGTTTATTTCTTTGTTTGTATCAGACAAAATCTGTTATATCATGTTGTGAAATTTTACAGTAATATGCTATTTATGTTTAGCTTTTTTTTTGTTTTTAAAAGGGTGTTTTTTATGTGAAGTGAGTTTTCAAAAGAAGCAGCCTTGGACTTTCTGAATATGATAAATGATTCTAATCCATATTTTGAGTACTTAGTTTATTTATTTATTTGAATCGGACAAAATCTGTTATGACACAAAGTGAAATCACTACTAGTAGCATGTCTTTTAATTTTGTATTTATTTATTGAATTTACCTTTTTATAAAAAATATATATATATTTTGTGTGTAGAGTGAGTTTCAAAAAGATGTAGCTTTGGACGTTCTGAATTTGATGAATGATGTAAATACATGTTTTGAGTTAAGTTTGACTTTTAAAAACATATTTATTTGAATCGGAAAAAATCTGTTACGACACAAGGTGAAATCGTTACAGTAAATAGTTTCTGCTCTTTTTAACTGTCACAAGAAACTGAAACTGAATAAATATAAAAGTCACGACGAGCCTTAGATCAGGTTCAGTTACATGTTTATAAAACATAAACCTTTATCCATGTAGTTTACAAAGTTGGGCATCAAAATTACACATGTACAACAGTAACAGGCATTTAATCAGTCAAATCAATCGAATTTGTTTTATTGAGCACAGTAATAATTCAGAAATCCTTGGGCGAGATACTTGAAAGAAGATGGAGAGTGAACAGTTGCTCCAGAGCGACAGGTTGGACACTCCTGATGTAGAGCGAGTTTCAAAAAGAAGTAGCCTTGGTCTTTGTGAATTTAATACATGATTTGAATAAATGTTTTGAGTTGGGTTTGACTTTTAAAAACCTACTTTAGTTTATTTATTTATTTGAATCTGACAAAATGTAGCTAAGGGCTCTTTTTACGTTATTTTCTAATCTGTGTCATAATGTTGTTTCCTCTTCAACAGACCTGAAAACAGACCTGGAGTTGTGTTTTGTTTCATTCACAAACGTTTAGCACACAAATCGACTTTAAGCTGCGTCCACACCAAACGAGAATGGCGCGAACAAGGCGAACAGTTTCCATGTTAACCCTATGTAAAGGCGAATAAAGTTCTGCGGTGCGAACGACGCAAATTTGGCGGCGCGATTCGCATGTTTTGAGGGACGCAAATAGGCAGAACTGGAGTTGGGAGGGACTTGCGAAATTCTCCAAAGTTGAAATTTTTTTTAACTTTCTGCGAATCTTCATGTCACATCAACCAATCAGAGGCCATGTTCTATGACGTGTAAAACTGAGACAGACGTGAACCTTCATTCAACATGGAGGAGACACTCACTGCTCCCGTGGGAAACGAGACGATATGATACGACACCAGCGCGAGCCAGGACAGAGACCCAATCATCTCCACAGAGCAGGACCTACACCAGACTCTGTCCCCCTCTTCTTTATTCTGGTCCCGGTCTCAGTTCTGGTCTGGTCCCGGTCTCAGTTCTGGTCTGGTCCCGGTCTGGTCCAGTCTGGTCCGGGTCTCAGTCAAGCTCCGGTCACGGACTCAGAGCCTCCACGAGGTCTGAGCCTCAGCTTCGAGCTCCAGCCCGGCCGTGTTCTCCAAACCTCTGTGGGCTCTGAGCTCCGGCCGTGGACTCAGAGCCTCCGCGGGGTCCGAGTGTTCGGTTTATTTAGACATTTAAAACAAGAAGAAAGACAAGAGATTAATTCAGTTTTACTCATGAGGAGAACGGGCAGAGAGTGGGCATCAAACCAACAGTCTCCACACGTTCTGATGACTCAAGGCCGCTCTCCTCTTTTTATTTCATTAGGAGGCCCTAGTTACAGAATGATAATTCTCAAGGGGAAGGGGAAACAGCAAAGACATAATAAGAAACTGATGCAAATAAAACACATAAAACATGATTAACAATCAGGAGGTGCCTTAGGTCAGACACCATCATAACTCTTGCATGTGTGACAGTGGGAGTTGGCTTCATGTGAGGAATCATCTCGAGGAACACAAGAGCGACAGGACACTGCACACAGTTGTCAAACACACAAGAGGTTATTCATATTCATACAAGTGATTGGTACATTATAAATCAAAGAATTGTAGTACATAAATGGTTAACTCATAGGCCTAGAATATCACACAAGTATTTAGCAAATATGGGATAATAGAATTATTCTGACACCGAGTTTCAGCTTCGAGCTCCAGGGCTCAGAGACCAGTCTGGTCCTGGTCTGGTCTCAGTCTCAGTCTGTTCCTGGTCAGCCCGCTTGATGTAGTCCAAGTCCACCATCTTTCCAAATGAAACCAGGCACAGAGGAAACTGTGCAGCTGCATTTGATCCTTCCGGAGAGAACAGAGAGGATTTACTCATGCGACCTGGACACACGAATGAAGCAAATGACTCAAAAAAGTCAAGCAGCAAACTAGAGGCGTTTGACGCGATTTATTTGCACCATTCGCGTTTGGTGTGGACACGGCTTTAAAGTTCTTCTCTCAAACAGAAAACACGCCGTTCCACGTTGTGATGTCATGTGGTTCAGTGTGTTTTTAAACTCCATAGAACTTCACCAGAATCATTTGGATCATTTAAAACCTGAAATTTCCAATCTCGACTGAACTAAAGATAAAAGGAGCTCTTCACTTGAAAACTACCACTTCATGACATCACAAGGTGGATCAATGCGTTTTGAGCATTGCAGATGTAGACAGACTAATTATAAAGAAACAAAACACAAGTCCAGGTCTGTTTTTGAGGAGATAACAACATTACAACACGGCTAAAAACGCAACGGGACGAGTCAGTTTTGCGTAACACGTGTATTTATACTTGAATGGGTCAGTGTGGATAAATGTGGAGCGAGGCTGGAAATAGACTCCAGATCCTCAGTTCTAGTTTCCATCCGGGAGAGTCTAAATTAGCAAAGGCTTATTTACATTTTTAGGCTATTCATAGGAGGGACGTATTTCACATTCTGTTTCTGTGCCGACTGATGACACCACAGACAGGACAAGAAACTTATGAATGAAAATGAAAAAATGCAGAGTTTTGTTGTAAAACACTGAGTTTTACCATCATCATCAGGGAAATACGACTCTTGTTCACCTCATTTATTCCTCCAGTGAATTCATGCCACACAAACACCACTTTGTTTATGATTACTGTATTTTTCAGTTATTTTTCCTGTGACTCATACTACGATGCGACTTATATCTTAAAGGGCCCGTCTCATGCAGAATCTACTTTTCAGAGCTTTCTACCTTCTAAGAGTGATGTGTGGGACTTGTATTTGTCGCCGAAGTGGTTTTTAGATTGATTTGACTTTTTTGGGGGGGGGGTTTTTGGGACAAATTGCAGCGTATTTCTTTTTTTTTTTTTTTTTTTTTTTTTTTTAGGCTGAGTTCTTTTTTTTTTTTTTACATAGACACACATATATACACATACACATATGTAAGCATCTACATACATACATTCTTATCGACATATACCTACATATACGTACATATATATACACATTAACACATCCACATATACACATATATACAGCCACATCTCCACACATATACATATATATATATAATATATATATATATATATACATATATATATATATATATACACACACACACGCGCGTACACATATACATACACACATACGTAAGCACACACACACATCTATACACCTATACATACATAATATTTACACTCTTAATAATATAATGTTCTTCTAAACAGTTAGATGGAATGTCAAAAATGAATCAGTTAGTCACAATACCTTTTCTTAAGAATACATGTGTATATGTATGTATGTATAAACATACACTTAACTAAACTTTTGTCTCTCATAAATTTGCCCTTTAATACTGACAATTTTGACATTCCAAACCACTCCAGGGCAGCAAACATCTTATATGAGCAGGTGGTCTGTACGTGTACATTATACATTCAAATTAATAACATTCAATATATTTTAATATTTAAATATACACATACTGAAGGAATACCAATGATAATTTACTAAGTGTGGTACTGTCCTTCTTAAAAGGTTTCCAGGCTTGCCAATATGGGATACCAAAGTTTCTTGAAAAATGTGTCCATAATTATTTTTTTCAAGAGTTAGTTTTTCCAAAGGTAGAAATTCTGACAATTGACTCGTAAATAGCCTAAATGTAGGAGATAAATCATCTTTCCAGAGTAGTAATATACATTTCTTTGCAAAATATGTTATAGTAATCAATATTCTACATTTATTTTTATCTAAGTGAAGTTGTTGTGTGTCATTTAACAGATATATATTTGGCTGAATATCAAAAGTTTTTTCCAAGGCCGTTTGTGTAAAGGAGTGAATGATATTCCAGTAATTTTTTAAAAGATTACAATCCCAAAACATGTGTATATATGTTCCATCCTT